GATAATATGTTAAATAAATAGTAAATTTACAATATTAAGCCCTTGTTTGAGCCCCATATTTTTTAGAAAATATATTATTATACAGTATTTTGACATCATTTCAATCACACATTATTCAATAAAATAATATTACACGAAAATCTAAAACTTTTCCTTATTTTTTAATCACACATTTCACATCATCTCACTATTCAAAAATGCATTTTCTTGGAAAAAATGAGGCTCAAACAAGGGCCAAGTTTCTTAATTCCCCCATCCTTCACCCCTTCCCAGAAAGAAAAAATGCTAACCACATTTAAATAAAATTTCAATAAATGAATTTGTCATATTAATAACATCACTTAAATAATAAAATTTCACCGATCATGAGTCGGAATAAGTGTACTAAGAGCCTGTTTGGGAGTGATTTTAAGAATTGATTTTTTAACCGTTAGAAAAAAGTGGGGTTCATCTGTGAGAAAAGAAGTCAAATATGACGGCTGAAATAGTGAAATAACGGTCAAAAAATCAATTTTTTAGTTGAAAAAATCGGGCCCAAACAGGCCCTAAATCAATAATCTTGCTTCATTTATAAGATAATAATTTTATTTAGGGTCTGTTTGGTAGGGATTTTGAGAATTGATTTTTTGACCGTTAGAAAAAAAGTGGGATCCCCATGTGAGAGAAAAAGTCAAAAATTACGGTTTGAATAGTAAAATAATGGTCAAAAAATCAATTTTTTGGGGCAAAAAATTCCTACCAAACAAGGCCTTAAAATTCTTTATGGCCCAAAAAAAAATATTAAATTAAATACTTAAAAAATTTGTTATATATATATATATATATATTAAGAATCGTTTTACTCGAATATGTTTATTTTTAAATTCCATTTTGTTTAGAATATACATTTGATGTTGCTTGCTTATTATTTGTACAAATCAAACTCAGTTCACCCCTAGTATTTTTTAGGATGCATTTACACATTAACTATATTTTTCATTTCCTAGAAATTAGTTATATAAGATTATAATGCTCGAAAGACTTCTATTGAAGAAATGTTGATAAATACAATTATCATCTATATTATGATCTCGTACGGAAGTTGTTAGATTATTTTGTCTAGAATAGTTCAAAGTGCTTGTTTGCATTACATTTTTTTTCAAAAATTTCTCAGAAATGACTTCACATAATCTATCAATAAATTAGGGTGTGTTTGATTGCAAATATTTTCCATAAAAAATGTGTTTTTTCCTCCCAAATTCTTACTTTTATACTTTTTGATTGTCATTTTTTTCATGAAAAATATTTTCTTACTTTCGATCATGTGATCATATTTTTTTCAAAATCAAGATAATATTTTCTTTAAAAGGAGTAATATTTTTATTTTTCAGGGAATTCACTCTCTCATTTATCCACACACTCTTATTTATTCACAGATAAAAAATGGATAAATATAATATTTTCTACGTTGAAAATTAAATCAATCAAATACATTTTGACCCCGTTTTGGCCCCCATTTTTTGGTAAGAAAAATGAGCGGAATAATAATTTTTTGAAAAATAAGTGGTTGAAAAAGAAGAAAAATGTTTTGATTTCTGTGTAATATTATTTTATGAAAGATTGTGTAGTCGAAAATATGAGAGAGAAAAATATAATGTAATTTAATGGAAGCCAAACGAGATTTAATTGACAATTTTCATGTAAATAAATTTTTGACAAATAAATTTCTTAAAATTTATTTTCTTTCTATGAAAATTTTATATTTACAATCAATCATACCGTATTATTTATAAAAATACCGTTCAGTCCATTAGTTCACATTAATTAAATGTATTTAAAATCCTTAGCCCATAGTTTTGGATTCAACAATATTATACATTTCATTTACATTTATAATTTTCCTATGATATATTTACAATCATTCCCATGTATACATACATATTTCACAACTCTGCGTCATCATCTAAACCCTAATTCTATTTCTCCCCAAATATCTCCAGTGAGATTCCAAATTCCTAAGCCCTAACCCTACTAAATTACATACGTAGATATAGTTTTGGCAGACATGGATTCACAGGCGAACAATCTATACGAAACGGCGTCGCAGCCGGACCCGGACAACGACGCCTACGCGTTCCTTGAATTCAACACGCAAGGGGAGGATTTCGATTACCCAGAATTCCAAGAGCTCTCTCAGCCCATTCGATCCCCCTCTGTATGGCCGACCCCGTCCGATTCGGTTGCTGTTTCTGAGACCAACGATCACCCGTCGTCATCTGATGCCTCGCCCTCGACTAAAGCGCGCGGTGGTGGAGTTGGTACTAGTAGTAGTAATAATAATGTTAGTGGCAGTGGTGTTCATAATAAAGAAGGCGTGGTGGAGGCCTTGGCAGCGGGGATGAGTGGGCTGAATTTCGAAGAGACTGGTGATGATGATGGTTTTGAGTATGGTAAGGGTGATTTTACTGAGCATGCTTGTAGGTACTGTGGGGTCACAAACCCGGCCTGTGTGGTGCGGTGCAATGTCTCATCCTGCCGGAAATGGTTCTGTAATTCGCGGGGGAATACCTCGGGTTCACACATAGTCAATCATCTGGTGAGTGAAATGGAAATAGATGTGCTGTTTTTATTTAATGGTGGTGAAATAAGTTTAGAAATGCATTTCTGTGTATTGATTTTGTTGATTAGATTAATATGTATATCACATTAAAAAAACTGTGTAGATAAGTGACAGATGTCTTTTAGAATGTCTTTTCAGGGCTGATCATTTTACTTCTTCCTGTCATATTTATGATTGTCTCTTCCTTTGTCTGGACGTTCGTTGTTGGATATTTTCTATATTACTTTTATATGGATTGAATAGTTGGAAAAGTAATAAAATGGTTAAAATGGTGAGGAAAGAGAATGTTTAGTTGTAATAATGTGGTGCAAATGCTAGTTTTCCATTTTTGATAAATGATGAGATTGTGAAATCTTAAATAGTGTGGAGCATGACATGTTGAGGGAGAATCTTATTCAAAAAGAAATCATTGGTCATTTTTTTTATTTTTTTATGTTGCTTCGAAACTGAGCCAATTGGGATAGGGCAGCAGACGGTTTTTTTTCGCAGTGGATGACATTTTTGGTATAACCTATTTCTACCTAGAAATTGACTGATAGTTTGATTCAAGAGTTATTCCATGATAGAAGGAAGTGATGGAGCTGTATTGGTTTGAGGAGCTGTTGCTGGGTTGTTCCCATTTTCCCGATCACTATTCTATTGATTACATGTGCAGAAACGTGTGAAAAGTGAAATACTGGTAGTAACTTATATCCTGTCTCAGAGTATCTTGTGATTTGCGTTGTAGGGTTGTGAGAAAATGTTGCCATGTAGGTATGACTTAAATGGGAAAGATGCTTCTGTTTCTTTAAATGCATATTAATTTTCTCTGAAGTAAACTATTGGAAGAAGACATGCCAAATAAACATCTGCAGTTATAATTGGAAATTAAAGATTGTCCTCATTTAACTTATGCTTACTCATTTATTATTATATATAATGAGGCCATTGTTCTTAACTTGGATGCATTTGGCGTGTGACTATTCTCAAAGTGGGTCTATGTGAAAAACAATTGCTTAATGTTTCAATGGCGATTAATTATTCCAAATGGGTCAATGATGTATCGTGGATTCACACCTGAAGCAAAGTAAATAAGTCTAGAAAATTAAGGAACACACCCTTCAATGGCCTTTAGGTGGTGCTGTGAAGCGTGTGCCTTAATTGGGTTTTATCAAACCATGGGCATATTTATGCTTATTTGAATAGTAATACGTATCTCATCGTGGATTTGTTCCTTTTAAATTTGCAAATCTCGATAGATGATTGAGATAGGAAAATGTTTTCTGATATCATACATGCAAGATTAGGACCACAAGCTTGTTGAGTTCCTCGTATTTAGGCTCACAAATGGGAAAGTTATTTAATGATGCATGAAAGTCAAAAGGGTGGTCTCCTTTTGTGTTTTTGTATGTAAATAATCTTAGTTTATTATCCATATGCAATTAATAAGCCTACTTCAATGCTTTGAACATATCTCTTCGTGTTTATTGGTATCCTATGATGCATCGACACGAATACGTGTTCGATGCGACATGTGTCGGACACGTCGACAAGTGATTTTTCAAAAAAATATTGACGCAATACGTCGTCAATATGTTGATTAAATTAACTATAATTCTTCATTTATATAGTGTAAAATTAGATTTTTATTTATAATTTTTCTTGTTGAAATCTTTTAAATATGAGTATTTATTTGTTATTTAATAATAACTTTGAGTTAAAATATTCGTGTTTATTGGTATCCTATGATGCATCGACACGAATACGTGTTCGATGCGATATGTGTCGGACACGTCGACAAGTGATTTTTCAAAAAAATATTGACGCAATACGTCGTCAATATGTTGATTAAATTAACTATAATTCTTCATTTATATAGTGTAAATTTAGATTTTTATTTATAATTTTTCTTGTTGAAATCTTTTAAATATGAGTATTTATTTGTTATTTAATAATAACTTTGAGTTAAAAACATATAATATTTTTGATAAAGAAAGGAAAATAACCTTCGTAGAGTGTACGGGGAGTGGTGTCAGATACGGACACGTCATCCTAGTTGAAGTGTCCACACAACATAGTTGGTATCATTACCTCTTTTGCATAGCATATTTAGATGTCCTTCTTCTTCTTTTTTTTTTTTTTGACTTTTGAGTTTCCTGTGCTATTTGAATATAGGTGAGAGCAAAGCATAAGGAAGTATGTCTTCATGAAGATAGTCCCCTGGGAGAAACAATTCTCGAGTGCTACAACTGTGGATGTCGAAATGTTTTCCTTCTTGGTTTCATATCTGCAAAGACAGAGAGCGTGGTTGTCCTGCTTTGTAGGGAACCCTGCCTTAGCAATAATGCATTGAAGGACATGAATTGGGATCTTAGTCAGTGGTGCCCGCTTATTGACGATAGGTGCTTTTTGCAGTGGCTAGTAAAGGTTGGTTATTGCCTTACTTTTAGGTTTATTTCTTGTTAGCCTGTTGTCTCATATTTAACCTCTTAATTGATTGCAAAATGAAGGTCCCATCTGAACAAGAGCAGTTGAGAGCTCGCCAAATTAGTGCACAACAGATAAACAAAATAGAAGAGCTTTGGAAGACAAATCCTGATGCAACTTTGGAAGATCTTGAGAAACCAGGTGTGGATGATGAACCTCAGCCTGTAGCCTTGAAGTATGAAGATGCTTATCAGGTTCCATCAAAGAGCTCTTAGTTGATCATCTGACGTGCATGTCACTGTTGTTGAAGCTGCATTTCTGTTTCTGGCTGTTGCTTTACACTGATGAATGTACTATATTTCTCTTGCAGTATCAAAATGTTTTTGCACCACTTATCAAGCTTGAAGCAGACTATGATAAGGTCTGAATACATCTAATACTGTGCTCATGTACCCCTCCCCCCAACAAGAAACCCAAGCAAAAGGATAATAAGAAGATGGGGGGTCCTCTACATTGATAAAACTTTTTTCTCATTTTACATCCGTAATTTATTTCTTGAGATTTTGTTCAGTTATAATTACCATTTCTAACGTGCCTATGCTAGAAGTTTCAACTTTCATTATTGTTTCGCAGATGATGAAAGAGTCTCAGAGCAAAGATAATATCACAATTCGATGGGACATCGGTCTTAACAAGAAGCGTGTAGCATATTTTGTTTTTCCAAAGGTAATTTGTCCTGTTGTTTTATACATGCATTTTTAAGCCTTCTTTGTTTTTTAACTCAAAAATACACGTTCTTGTAGGAAGACAATGAGTTGCGCCTTGTACCTGGTGATGAATTGCGACTGCGTTATTCAGGGGATGCTGCTCATTCGGCGTGGCATTCTGTGGGTCATGTGGTATGATACCTTCTTTTTTGAACTATCCTATTACAACACTATATTGAGAGCCATCCTGATGGGAGGTACAAGGTTCCTATTTTGATCAGAAAATATGTGGGGGCTGACTCACTTGGAAATATTATACTGTTTAATGCAGTCTCATTTTATCCTATATCTATAAGTTGAGATTTATATACTGTGAGGAAAAAATGGTTAAAAATTCTTTTTTCAGATAAAATTGACTGCACAAGAGGAAGTTGCTCTTGAGCTTCGTGCTAGTCAGGTATCTCTTATCACATTTTTATAATTTTCATATTTCATTCGATAGATGGAAACTCTCTTGATTTGTACTATTATCTGCAGGGCGTCCCTGTTGATGTGAACCATGGTTTTAGCGTCGACTTTGTTTGGAAGAGCACAAGTTTTGATCGGATGCAAGGGGCGATGAAGACTTTTGCTGTGGATGAAACGAGTGTCAGTGGGTGAGTGGGCACAATTTATGGCCTGTTTGATATTTATTGAGAATAGATTTTGTGAAAAGTGATATTTTTGGAGAATGTGCGGATAAAAGGTTTGGAAAAGTTCTGAGTCCTCGTGCAAACTTATTTTATTGGAAAATGTGCAATTGAAAATGAGTTTTGAGGAAAAATGATTTTTAAAGAATTTGTACCAAATAGTGACTTAATTTCTCTTTATTAATTATTTTGCATTTTCTTTTTCTTATCACTCTATATGCATCTTCTGTATATTGAAATGGAAAATCTTTATGGAACGCTGTGTATGTCTGCGCAATGAATATTTGTATTTTAAATCTTAAGCATAATTGGTAGATGATAATTTGTTCAAACAAAGTTGATCTTCTGTAGTTGGAGTATGATGGCTAATGGCCATATGGTTGTGAACATAGAAATCATGGCATTAAATGCGCTGTTGCAGGAAATATTTTTAATGATCTTCAAGCGTTGTGCTTTATGATGTCAAGGGTTGACTTGAATTGCGCAGTGTACAATGATTTAGGATGCATTCTACTTTTCGAAGTGTGCAAAATGAGTTCTTAGCATCCATTCTACTACTCCAAATATATTCGTAGCCTTTATGCTGGGCTGTGTTTGCTATGCTGTAATTTTTATTTTCTTTTTACCTTGTAGTTTAGGTCTTTTTGTTGACCCACCTGTTCTTGAGTTATTTTCTACTTATGAATTGTTCAAAACCCTCTCCCTTGCATGTGTATTGTCTTTGGTGGGTTTGAAGTGTAATGCTGCATGCTATGCAGGTTCATTTACCATCATTTGCTAGGCCATGAAGTTGAGATGCAGATGGTTCGCAATGCATTGCCTCGCCGCTTTGGTGCTCCGGGTCTTCCAGAACTTAATGTATCTCAAGTATGGATTCAGAATTGCTTGTTTCATCTTTATATGTGATGGTATTAGTATATGTCTTGGATTGTCCATGTGACTTGTGGGGGGTTTTGGATTATCTAAACCTTCTGTTCATGTTTAGTTCCTGCCGAAAATTAAGGAATGGAGAGTACTGATGAGGTTGCTAGGGCAAGGGTATAGATAGTTTTTTTAAGAACTGGTAAGTGCCGAGAAAAATTAATGTTCATGTTTTGGATGAATATAATTCAGTAAGTGGATAAAACATACTGAGACTGAATTAGATATAAAGAGTCTGCACACATCCCTGCCATAACAGGTACAACATATATTTCATTTTTTGCTGACCCTGGAGAAGACTTATTACTCAAATTACAAGGCTAGTTATCTCAAGATAGCTTCATATAGAAAGTGCCATGGTGCTGATTTTATATGAGTGGTACTTTTCCTGTGCTACTTCTCTTTTTTACTTATGTCTTGATCCATCTAATACTAATAGGTTCTCGCGGTGAAAAATGTCCTACAAAAGCCAATAAGTCTGATCCAAGGCCCTCCTGGAACTGGAAAAACTGTCACTTCTGCTGCAATTGTGTATCATATGGCGAAACAAGGCCAGGGACAGGTAATTAGTTTGACATCCCTGCCATAACAGGTACAACATATATTTCATTTTTTGCTGACCCTGGAGAAGACTTATTACTCAAATTACAAGGCTAGTTATCTCAAGATAGCTTCATATAGAAAGTGCCATGGTGCTGATTTTATATGAGTGGTACTTTTCCTGTGCTACTTCTCTTTTTTACTTATGTCTTGATCCATCTAATACTAATAGGTTCTCGCGGTGAAAAATGTCCTACAAAAGCCAATAAGTCTGATCCAAGGCCCACCTGGAACTGGAAAAACTGTCACTTCTGCTGCAATTGTGTATCATATGGCGAAACAAGGCCAGGGACAGGTAATTAGTTTGACATGTTTGCTTACTACATATTTTTTTAGGTTTGCTGATAATTGGTTTCCATTAAGGTTTTGGTCTGTGCTCCAAGCAACGTGGCTGTTGATCAGCTAGCTGAAAAGATAAGTGCAACTGGTTTGAAGGTAAAAAAAAATTGCTCATTTCAAACTACAGCCTTCCCAATAATTTTTTCTTTTTTAACCTTCAGTTTCCCTATAATACTTATTTTGTTTCATCTGTCATAGTTGTAGTTCCATTTGACATTATAGTTTCAGTCTCTGTATTGTAGAATTACAGAGTTTCATTAACATAACATGATGACTAATGAAGTGAAACAGTGTAATGGGGGAAATTCACTCTGGTTGTATATCACTTGTCGCTTAGTGTGTTTACAACTGTCATGCACTTTTTCTCATGATGCATGTAGCAATTTGTTTAACTGATGGTATCACTTGTAACCCCATTCCCCTGTTACTTAACTGTACCAGAAAGAGAGATAAAATAAAGATAAAAATATTGAGTAGTCCTGTTATTTGATACATGAGTTTGTACATCCTTTGACGCTTAAATATTTTGTATTACTAATTAGGTTGTCAGACTCTGTGCAAAGTCGAGGGAAGCTGTTAGTTCTCCTGTTGAGCATTTAACCCTCCACTATCAGGTTTGTTTACTCTCTTAGATTTTATATCCTAATCTATACTTGCTTGTGCAAATTGTTATCATTTTATTACTTCATTTAATCTTAAGCACGTTTTTGTGTTTTATCACTTGATCATCTTGTTATTGTTTATAGGTTCGACATCTTGACACATCCGAAAAAAGTGAACTTCACAAGTTGCAACAATTGAAAGATGAACAAGGTTTATCTTTTTGTCTCTTCTCTATTTCTTACTTTTCAGTGTGGTTTTACTTTATGCCTCTCCATTTCAATCCTGCACTGTGCTTTTAGGTAGTTTCCTGATTACTCTCTTGTTTGCGGAGTTGAAAATACAACTGGCTGCTTAATTAGTTGATTCTGTAACTATCATGCAGTTATTTTATATTCTAGGTGTGGTGACTACCATTATGTGTGATTTTGGTTTCAGTATGCGCATGGTTACATCTGTAGATAAACAGGAGTGAGAGGAGTAAATAACATACTGGTAGAGTGGGAAAATGTGAAGGAGGTGGGAGGCAAAAAAGAGGAAGAAAAACCGTAGCAGATGTCAAACTCAGAGTAAACATGGACCTAATAAATGATTGATTTGTTAATAATGGTGCACCGAAGATTTAAGACCACTGTTGTGATAGTTGTTGATGTGATAATATGGGACTTCGGTGAGTATTGGCATTTGTATCATATTTTTGTGTTGCATTAAGTGATGATGTCTCCCTTATTGAAACATAGAGTGATGCAGGGGCCATGAATTTTTGGTCTGTGATGTTGTTACCTTAAGTGGACAGTTTAGGAAACAAAAAGACCTTTTAATTGAGACGGAGAGACTATATCTTGGCTATATGGCTAAGTCCCAGATGCATGTATGTGGAAACCTAAAATGTGAAGTGAATACCAAACAGTTACATGGATAGCAAGAGTCAGTTGCATCCCTGCAATGATGGATCTAATTCTAGTTGGTAGCAATGTAGAGTTATATCGTATGAGCCTGTAAAAAACAGAAACAGGCAAGGAAATCCAAAAACTGTCTCATTCATTAGTCAGGACACAGATGTAACGTGTACATGTGACTCTGAAGTCAATAAATTTCAAAATACTGCATGGCTGTACTCAGGGTGTCATTCTCAGTTGTATATTTGATGCATATCTAAAGATACTTCTTACTTCAGCTGCTTAAAGCCCGGGAATTTGCTAGCTATAAGCTTTGGTGGCTTGTGTCTGACTACATGTTTACTTATGCAATTGGATAAACCTAAATTATTTGAACTAGAATTTTGTTCATGAGCCGAGTTGAAAAGATGTTTATCATCAAAATACTGTTATGTTGTTTTAGATAATTTACTAGTTGAGGAAAGATGATGGAAGAGAATATGAGACAGACAGACAGTATAAGAGAGAGAAATTGGAAGGGGAAATTCAAGATCAATTAGGTATTGATTATAAATTCAATAGTCTGATAATTGAGAAACCCTACTTCTATCCATATCTAAAATACCTAGCTCGGAAGGAAAATATCCATTATGGAAAGAACATAAATCAGATATTAAAAACTCAAATCAAAATGAATCCTATTCTATTTCTCATTCTTTTGCCAATGTCAACTGTGTATCAATGAAGCATTTCAACTGAATATTATTATGACATGCTCACCACATTTATTACCGAAGGATGCTTGTGAAATCAAATCCTTATTGGCTGATTCCTTTTATTGATGACCTTTATATTCTGTGGTAAAGTGAGCGGCTGTTGGAATCATGTTTCTTGTAGGTTGATTGGATTCAGTGGCTTTTTATGAATTGTTGGTGACATCGTTCTAACCTTAAAACTTTTAGGAGAACAAGAACATCTGGTGATGTATTGATGGAATACACATGCGGTTGTGATTAATTACAGCTAAATGCTCGAAGCCTCAAATCTCACCAATGCAAGGGGCGATGAAGACTTTTGCTGTGGATGAAACGAGTGTCAGTGGGTGAGTGGGCACAATTTATGGCCTGTTTGATATTTATTGAGAATAGATTTTGTGAAAAGTGATATTTTTGGAGAATGTGCGGATAAAAGGTTTGGAAAAGTTCTGAGTCCTCGTGCAAAGAAGGAGGTTTCACCCTGTCCAAGGAAAACACGTTAATTTGAAAAGAAAATTTTTGAATACAGAAATATTCAATCATATATTCGACAGACTTCCTGAAGCGTAGCAATTGTCAATGAAATTCAATAAACATCAATTAAGGGTCCGTTTGGTGTGGTTTTTGAAAAGCCAAAAGACCTTTTGAGAGAGGAAAAATGATTTTTAAAGAATTTGTACCAAATAGTGACTTAATTTCTCTTTATTAATTATTTTGCATTTTCTTTTTCTTATCACTCTATATGCATCTTCTGTATATTGAAATGGAAAATCTTTATGGAACGCTGTGTATGTCTGCGCAATGAATATTTGTATTTTAAATCTTAAGCATAATTGGTAGATGATAATTTGTTCAAACAAAGTTGATCTTCTGTAGTTGGAGTATGATGGCTAATGGCCATATGGTTGTGAACATAGAAATCATGGCATTAAATGCGCTGTTGCAGGAAATATTTTTAATGATCTTCAAGCGTTGTGCTTTATGATGTCAAGGGTTGACTTGAATTGCGCAGTGTACAATGATTTAGGATGCATTCTACTTTTCGAAGTGTGCAAAATGAGTTCTTAGCATCCATTCTACTACTCCAAATATATTCGTAGCCTTTATGCTGGGCTGTGTTTGCTATGCTGTAATTTTTATTTTCTTTTTACCTTGTAGTTTAGGTCTTTTTGTTGACCCACCTGTTCTTGAGTTATTTTCTACTTATGAATTGTTCAAAACCCTCTCCCTTGCATGTGTATTGTCTTTGGTGGGTTTGAAGTGTAATGCTGCATGCTATGCAGGTTCATTTACCATCATTTGCTAGGCCATGAAGTTGAGATGCAGATGGTTCGCAATGCATTGCCTCGCCGCTTTGGTGCTCCGGGTCTTCCAGAACTTAATGTATCTCAAGTATGGATTCAGAATTGCTTGTTTCATCTTTATATGTGATGGTATTAGTATATGTCTTGGATTGTCCATGTGACTTGTGGGGGGTTTTGGATTATCTAAACCTTCTGTTCATGTTTAGTTCCTGCCGAAAATTAAGGAATGGAGAGTACTGATGAGGTTGCTAGGGCAAGGGTATAGATAGTTTTTTTAAGAACTGGTAAGTGCCGAGAAAAATTAATGTTCATGTTTTGGATGAATATAATTCAGTAAGTGGATAAAACATACTGAGACTGAATTAGATATAAAGAGTCTGCACACATCCCTGCCATAACAGGTACAACATATATTTCATTTTTTGCTGACCCTGGAGAAGACTTATTACTCAAATTACAAGGCTAGTTATCTCAAGATAGCTTCATATAGAAAGTGCCATGGTGCTGATTTTATATGAGTGGTTCTTTTCCTGTGCTACTTCTCTTTTTTACTTATGTCTTGATCCATCTAATACTAATAGGTTCTCGCGGTGAAAAATGTCCTACAAAAGCCAATAAGTCTGATCCAAGGCCCACCTGGAACTGGAAAAACTGTCACTTCTGCTGCAATTGTGTATCATATGGCGAAACAAGGCCAGGGACAGGTAATTAGTTTGACATGTTTGCTTACTACATATTTTTTTAGGTTTGCTGATAATTGGTTTCCATTAAGGTTTTGGTCTGTGCTCCAAGCAACGTGGCTGTTGATCAGCTAGCTGAAAAGATAAGTGCAACTGGTTTGAAGGTAAAAAAAAATTGCTCATTTCAAACTACAGCCTTCCCAATAATTTTTTCTTTTTTAACCTTCAGTTTCCCTATAATACTTATTTTGTTTCATCTGTCGTAGTTGTAGTTCCATTTGACATTATAGTTTCAGTCTCTGTATTGTAGAATTACAGAGTTTCATTAACATAACATGATGACTAATGATCAGCTAGCTGAAAAGATAAGTGCAACTGGTTTGAAGGTAAAAAAAAATTGCTCATTTCAAACTACAGCCTTCCCAATAATTTTTTCTTTTTTAACCTTCAGTTTCCCTATAATACTTGTTTTGTTTCATCTGTCGTAGTTGTAGTTCCATTTGACATTATAGTTTCAGTCTCTGTATTGTAGAATTACAGAGTTTCATTAACATAACATGATGACTAATGAAGTGAAACAGTGTAATGGGGGAAATTCACTCTGGTTGTATATCACTTGTCGCTTAGTGTGTTTACAACTGTCATGCACTTTTTCTCATGATGCATGTAGCAATTTGTTTAACTGATGGTATCACTTGTAACCCCATTCCCCTGTTACTTAACTGTACCAGAAAGAGAGATAAAATAAAGATAAAAATATTGAGTAGTCCTGTTATTTGATACATGAGTTTGTACATCCTTTGACGCTTAAATATTTTGTATTACTAATTAGGTTGTCAGACTCTGTGCAAAGTCGAGGGAAGCTGTTAGTTCTCCTGTTGAGCATTTAACCCTCCACTATCAGGTTTGTTTACTCTCTTAGATTTTATATCCTAATCTATACTTGCTTGTGCAAATTGTTATCATTTTATTACTTCATTTAATCTTAAGCACGTTTTTGTGTTTTATCACTTGATCATCTTGTTATTGTTTATAGGTTCGACATCTTGACACATCCGAAAAAAGTGAACTTCACAAGTTGCAACAATTGAAAGATGAACAAGGTTTATCTTTTTGTCTCTTCTCTATTTCTTACTTTTCAGTGTGGTTTTACTTTATGCCTCTCCATTTCAATCCTGCACTGTGCTTTTAGGTAGTTTCCTGATTACTCTCTTGTTTGCGGAGTTGAAAATACAACTGGCTGCTTAATTAGTTGATTCTGTAACTATCATGCAGTTATTTTATATTCTAGGTGTGGTGACTACCATTATGTGTGATTTTGGTTTCAGTATGCGCATGGTTACATCTGTAGATAAACAGGAGTGAGAGGAGTAAATAACATACTGGTAGAGTGGGAAAATGTGAAGGAGGTGGGAGGCAAAAAAGAGGAAGAAAAACCGTAGCAGATGTCAAACTCAGAGTAAACATGGACCTAATAAATGATTGATTTGTTAATAATGGTGCACCGAAGATTTAAGACCACTGTTGTGATAGTTGTTGATGTGATAATATGGGACTTCGGTGAGTATTGGCATTTGTATCATATTTTTGTGTTGCATTAAGTGATGATGTCTCCCTTATTGAAACATAGAGTGATGCAGGGGCCATGAATTTTTGGTCTGTGATGTTGTTACCTTAAGTGGACAGTTTAGGAAACAAAAAGACCTTTTAATTGAGACGGAGAGACTATATCTTGGCTATATGGCTAAGTCCCAGATGCATGTATGTGGAAACCTAAAATGTGAAGTGAATACCAAACAGTTACATGGATAGCAAGAGTCAGTTGCATCCCTGCAATGATGGATCTAATTCTAGTTGGTAGCAATGTAGAGTTATATCGTATGAGCCTGTAAAAAACAGAAACAGGCAAGGAAATCCAAAAACTGTCTCATTCATTAGTCAGGACACAGATGTAACGTGTACATGTGACTCTGAAGTCAATAAATTTCAAAATACTGCATGGCTGTACTCAGGGTGTCATTCTCAGTTGTATATTTGATGCATATCTAAAGATACTTCTTACTTCAGCTGCTTAAAGCCCGGGAATTTGCTAGCTATAAGCTTTGGTGGCTTGTGTCTGACTACATGTTTACTTATGCAATTGGATAAACCTAAATTATTTGAACTAGAATTTTGTTCATGAGCCGAGTTGAAAAGATGTTTATCATCAAAATACTGTTATGTTGTTTTAGATAATTTACTAGTTGAGGAAAGATGATGGAAGAGAATATGAGACAGACAGACAGTATAAGAGAGAGAAATTGGAAGGGGAAATTCAAGATCAATTAGGTATTGATTATAAATTCAATAGTCTGATAATTGAGAAACCCTACTTCTATCCATATCTAAAATACCTAGCTCGGAAGGAAAATATCCATTATGGAAAGAACATAAATCAGATATTAAAAACTCAAATCAAAATGAATCCTATTCTATTTCTCATTCTTTTGCCAATGTCAACTGTGTATCAATGAAGCATTTCAACTGAATATTATTATGACATGCTCACCACATTTATTACCGAAGGATGCTTGTGAAATCAAATCCTTATTGGCTGATTCCTTTTATTGATGACCTTTATATTCTGTGGTAAAGTGAGCGGCTGTTGGAATCATGTTTCTTGTAGGTTGATTGGATTCAGTGGCTTTTTATGAATTGTTGGTGACATCGTTCTAACCTTAAAACTTTTAGGAGAACAAGAACATCTGGTGATGTATTGATGGAATACACATGCGGTTGTGATTAATTACAGCTAAATGCTCGAAGCCTCAAATCTCACCAAGGCATCAAGGCCTCACGAGGGACATAAACGCGAAGGAGGTTTCACCCTGTCCAAGGAAAACACGTTAATTTGAAAAGAAAATTTTTGAATACAGAAATATTCAATCATATATTCGACAGACTTCCTGAAGTGTAGCAATTGTCAATGAAATTCAATAAACATCAATTAAGGGTCCGTTTGGTGTGGTTTTTGAAAAGCCAAAAGACCTTTTGAGACCCAAAAGCTGCTTTTAGATTCGTTTGGCTAAATTTATGAAAGTACTTCTAGTTAGAAGAACTTTAATGGAAGCTGGTCCAATATGACTTCATTTAAAAGTATTTCGGGAATAGAAAGCTCTTTTAAAAATTAGTTTTTAAACAAAAATTAAGGTAGCTTTCTTCAAAAGCTGTTCTACAAGAAGCAAAAGTAAAAAACAAAAGTTATGCCAAATGCGTCCTAATTGCATTGCTGATATGGGCAAAATTAATAGTGAATAATGTTTGATTAAAATTTTCATGTTTTTCTGGAATTTTTTCCAATTTCAGAGCCCAATATAACACCACCACATGGCAAACGAAAACAATCAGTGGTTTAGGTGAAAAAAGGCAGATTGAATAGGTCTCATATGTTGCAATTTTGTAGCACCTGCACTTTGATGTTCCCTGCTGTTAGGCACGTGTCTATACACACTTTTAGAAGCCTTATATGAAACATAAGAAATAGATCAAGTTGCTTTGTGAAGTAGTGTAATTTGTATTTCACAATACATGAGTACTGGAGCTTTGTTCATTCCTTTTACTTTTTGTAATAAACTGTGGTCTTCTGGCATGATTTTGAATGACTATTTTTATTCCTGTTGAACATATAAACAATTCATGAATATACTTTTGTGCTGGTGGTTTTGCTGTTGTATTCATGATCGGATGACATATGAATGTATTGAATCTTTATGCTTGAAGCATTTTTCTTTACCCCATAATCTCTACAGGAGAGCTATCCAGCAGTGATGAGAAAAAGTACAAAGCTCTTAAGCGAGCAACTGAGAGGGAGATATCTCAAAGTGCTGATGTCATTTGTACAGGGGCCTCAAGGTGGGTTCCCCGGGAGCTTCTTAAACCAGAATTCTCAAGCTGGATACTCTCGTTTTGCTACGGGAAATGACTTCATGTCACAGGTTTTTTGTTGAATATTTTCTATCTTCTTTTATTGGAATATAAGTTCAACTTAAGCTCGACGCCTTGACCTTTAACCAGGTTTGGGATCATTATTTTTCCCAGTTCCTCTTAACCTGAGTTTTAAAGGATGTGACTCATTCCCCTGGAAAGAACCAAAGGGGGAGAAGGAATAAACCGAAGCAGAAGCTCTGTCTTTTCCTTTATAATTATTTGTTTATTTCATGGGTATTGGGCCCATTAAAGGACAAAATACCTATAAAATAAAGGTAGCAGATGTGAGGACATCAAACTGAATCTGTAAGAGATGAAGATATATGCCAACTAATGTGACATAGCACAATAGAAGACGAAGGGAAATACAGCTTAGTTTTTTGGTGTATGGCTTGAATAGACCTAAAAATGCTCCCGTTCATAAGGGATGCTGCCCTAGTAGAACATAGGTAAACCAGAATTAGCATGTCTTCGGTGGTTATAAAAGGTTTCACTATTTTTTTTTTTTTTTTTTTTTTTTTTTTTTAAATATTTGGGGACCTTTCAGAACAAGCACTTTGGATTGAAAAGAATGGTGGAGAGATTCTTAAAGCTGATGCTAATTTTACCACGAATAGGGCATCGTTTCATGTTACTTTACTTCGCTTATTTATTGTTGGTACTGAGGTAATGGTGATATTATACCCATATTTAGAAGAACTAGGATGAGACTTCAGATTGCTTTTTGGCGTATGCCTTGAGTAGGCCTAAAAATGCTCCTCTTCGTAAGAGAGATGCAGTCCTAGCAGAACGTGAAGGTAAATGAAAATTAACATGCCTTGGTTCAGGATTTTATAAAAGATTTTGTTTTGTTGGACCTTTCAGAACAGGTAATTTGAAAAAAAAAAAAAAAATGGCGGAGAGATATTTAAGGCAGATGCTAAGTTTATTGAGAATAGGACTTCGCTTCATGTTGCTTTGTTCTGTTTAATTTATTGTTGGTACTTGGATAATGGTGGTATTTGTATCTGAGCGTTATGATACTATAATTAGAACTGGGATGACAGCGTTCAGATTCTTCTTTGCTAGTTAGATAACTGATGAATATATTTTGCAATTTCCCGTTTCCATTGGAACTATGCATCCACCACATTTTTTTTCCTGTCTTTTCTATGTCTTCTGAGAGTGACACCATCTAGAATGTGTCACAGGAGTACATGGCGCATGGTTCCCAAGGGCTATTTACGCAGGCTGCATTCAAAGATCCTTCTCAAGACGATTCTTCCCAGAACCATTTTGGTGTGGTCAATGCCAATCCACTTGAATCTCAGGTTTATTCCTTTAGATTGTCGTTAATAACTTGAAGTGACAAATTATTAAACCAGCTCAAGAATCAAATAAATATTATTTTAAGTTCACAAAATCCCTATTAAAGAAGGCTTCCATAGTTTATAAAATTTTGTAGGGATTTGCAAAATTATGTTTTCACTCTTGTTCTCATGTTCGCAGAGTTTGCTCAATCCTCTTTACTCCCAGCCTTTCACCCACTACAACACACAGCCACTAAACATGCAAAATTCTCAGCAACAATCGCAGCAGAGTCCAGGCTCTCAAAATCAGAAGCTTCACTACAATGGCTGAGGGATGTGTTTGAACATGTTATGGGTTAGTCTTTTTGCATTCAGGAACTTGATTAGTGCTGCCATGTGTGACTACGTTATCTGCCCTAAGACGCAGTGAGATGGATAAAATTATCCGGTTGGTTGACGACTCAATTCTTTGATTATGATTCTTAAAGATTGCTTCAGATAATCTTATTAAAAGGCAGCTGCAACTTTGGGCTAACACAGGCAGCATATAACTAGTTCTGAGAATAGAGATAACCCTAATTATCTTCTTGGAAGTCGATGGATGCATTACATGGCATGGTTTTATCGATATGGTTCAGGAGGCAGAACCAGTTACAGAGCTCTCTAAAGCATATATGGCTGTTATTTTACGTGCAGCATGCTGGAGGACGGTTCTAACCCTTTCATATAGCCCTGACGTGTAATTATATATTTGGACGACGACGATAGTTCAAGGTGTTAATGCAAGCATTATGATATTACTAAATAACGTTTTAGCTCTATGAATGTGTGACATCGGTATTAGTGAAAAACTCTATGCTGTGATTTATATTTTAGGGCATATGATGAGGGAGTGATAATTATGGATTGTTTTGTTTGAAGTTTCGAATTGGTGTAATTTAAGGTTTGGAAATGAAATGGTGTGTGAAAATTGTATTGTTATTATATGGTAAGTAAGCTACAATTAGCTAAACCCTATAGATAGAGGTATTTTTGACATGCTATAATAACGATTAATTTAATTTCTGAGGAAATAAATTTACTCAGTTAGCTTTCACTATTTTGAAAAAATAATGTAATGTGCAGCACAGAAGTGTGATTTCTTTCAGGCTTAGCATCCTAAGATGTATTTGTAGTTTTTTATTTGTACTAATTAGACAATTTCTTAGAAAATGAAGACCATTTTAAAAAATGAGTAAGAGCATGTTTGTGTAGTATTTTTACGTTGTTTAAATTGTAAATGGCAGAAATGAGTTTTAAGCCCAATTTGACTTTGTTTTCATACTTATTTTCAACATCATTTTCGCACGAGATTACCTTCCTCGCATATGTACAAGATCGAATCTATTCGATTTCTAAAAAAGATTATTAATCTTTAACTTTTCGAGGAATCCTTCATCAGTGGTTGTGAATGATTGATTTTTTCAATCTTTTCAACCTTGGTTCGGTAGGAGCAAGTCAGAAAGATTGAGAAATAATCATATTCGCACGATAAAAGGTGTATTTATAATCGTGAGCCAAACATAGGCTCTCAAACTCACACAAAAATGGACGATTATACAGTAAAAGTATCCCCAAAATAAAAACATGCTTATCGAGCAAATCATAAGTAGAAATCAACACGAATATTTTTGGGAAAATTTCATAACTGCTGATGCTTCAAACTACAATTTCAAAACTACAATCTTATGAGAAATTATCAAAATTCCATTCGTCACATTTTCTGTCTCCGATAAAATGTTGTTACATGATATAATTGAAACAGGTTACGGTTTAATAGCAAATCACACATTTAATAATTCATAAACTATTTATTAGTTCCAAATACTCAATTAACTGGCCACCCAGACACTATTCACCCCACCTTACCCTCACCGTTACCCCCCCATCGTTGGCACTATATTGTCATCACCAACTCAAATCCACAACCTTCTCCATGAATTCACCGCCGCCACCACTACCTTCCCCTCACATTTTTCATCATCGCCATTCTTAATATATTGTCAGCACCTGAAGTCCTTAACCACCATAAGAATGATCACTCCTCTTTTCGCTACAGATTTATCAGCCGTGAGGCTTATAGGTCCAGTGAAACAGGGACCTATCAGGCCACACACATATGTGGGATCCGCGTAATTTTTTTTAAATACATGTGGAGCCCCTGCACAATGAGGGGCCCAGTAAAACACCTATGATAATGCTCCTATACACTGGTCACTAGGCATTTCCCCAGATTTATAGGCACCTCACAATACCCAACTAGGGTTTCGAATGCATAACGAGGCATCTATTTTTCAATTTGATTTCGGTCTAACTGATGGAGACCCTAGCTACAATAGTGGCAAAATAGGGTGGCGACTCCATGGGGTAGGTCTCCAATGGTGGGTCCATCGACGATGTTGAATTCAAGGATTTTAGGATTCATAATTCGTGAACTCAAAGCTTTTTTCTTGCAGATATTGGACCCCACATAATGTTGTGGGGCCAATAGAAGATGAAGGTTGTGTTTCAGAGGTGATTCCATAGAGGGTAGATGGTGGAATCGATGATTTAGGTAGTGGTTTAGGGCAGATTGATGGTCACCTCCATAAGGTTCTTATAGATTTTGGAATGTGAGGGTTATGTTTATGAGGTGATTCCATTGACTGTCGGTGATGGGTTAATCAATTCAGGTTGTGATTCGCGGAGGATAAAGGGTAGCGGTATTAGAAACCAAAACCTCAAGAACTTCGATTGATTAAAAATCCTTTATTTAGTGCCAAGATCCTTCGTATTAAATCACCAAAAGAAGTGAAAGTTGAAGCTTAACCTAATCCATTGGGAATGAAAATTGGTTGAGGTTTTTGATCTTCCTCTTCAACGGAGAAGTATCTATATTCTTCTGATAATGGGATGACAGATAGAATGAAAAATCACATATGAATTGATGACCATAACTCTATTAGAAATTTTCGTAAGTGTTTTGGCCCATCATAAAATATAGTCAAGGAAATCTGGTGTCTATACGTAATTAAACCCACACTATATTAGGGTCCCGTTTGTTTCTCATTTTTGTAAGAATGAAAATGAAAAATATAGTCGTTATGGGTTCCACAAAACAGATAGAAATTCAAATTTAGTAGCTTGATGTGATGAATAACGATAATATTTTTCATTTCAATGGGGAAAAAATGGGAAATAAACAGGGGCTAGATGCCAAACCCCAATAACTTTAATCCATTATTAGATAATTTTAAATGGATTTAACTTTAATATAGCCTTTAATACACACTTAATTACATATGTAAGTCCACATAACAAATTATTTTTCAACAATCTCACACTTAGGTCACATATCTTAATTATAAATGTACACAACCTTATGAGCTCAAAACATTTGCTATCATAAACAAAAGCATCTTTTAAAAATTTCATCCATTGATTATGTTCTAATAGGACCAAATTGATCCTTGTTACATGTATCATGACTAAACCCGTCAATGGTTAAGTATATCAACATAATTAAATGACATAGATCAAGTATGAATATGTAGTACGAAAATTACATGTAATTTGATCCAAACATGCATATTTTCAATCGATCCTACCTTATTCTTTAATGAGATCAAACAAAAATTAATCAGAGTGAAAATAAATTGAATACATTTTTTCTAAGGAAAATATCCATAAACATAAATGTGTCTAAAATCAGATAACACCCAAATACAAACTCCTATTAAATTAGCATATTATCAAAAGATACAACACACATGTGAGTAGTGTCTTCATGAAAGACGTTAAGTGCTAGTCCTTTGGTAAACGTATTCGCAATCATAGAATTTGTACCAATATGTTCTTTAGTAGTCTAACCATTATGGCCTTTCTAGGAACTTAAAGTTTATAAACGTTGAATTCATTGAGTGATGTTGTTATTGGAACACAACACTATCGACTTATTGTCATAAAATAATTTAAGTGGTCTTTCAATTCCATCCACAATGCATAGCCCAACGACAAAACTCTATAGCCATATTTTATGATTGGATGCTTTATTGCATGCTATAAAATTTCGTTGCCATGGTTGAAAAAGCTACGAGTTTCAACTTGGCACTCTTCTAGGTATAGCTCATCTAACCAGCATGTAGATATAGTTCGATGTCGATTTTCGAATATCTTGGCATCCAACAAAATTATAGTCAGAATATCCAATGGTCATGCAATTCTTTGTTCTCCGTAGATACTATATAAACGGTTTGGCTACTTTCCAATGATCCATCCCAGAATTACTTAAATATTTGCCTAGCATTTCAACAATGAGTAATATATTTGGACGTGTGCAAAATTAAGCATGCATTAAACTCCCAACTACTGACACACATGAATTTTCTCTACATTTCTTTCTCTTCAACGTCATTCTTAGGGCACTTATTTAGAATAACTTGTCTCACTTAGTAGTAGGGGCATCACCTGGTTTAAAATCATGCATGCCAAACCTCTTAATAACTTTTTTGGATATAACTCTTTTGTGATAATTCAAAAATATCTCGAGAATGGTCTTAGTGTATCTATTCCCTAATACAAAAGAGACATCATCAAGATCTTTCATTTCAGATTTCTTGATTTCGTGTAATAAACATAAATCATTGCTAGCAAACAATATATTATCAACATATAATACCAAGAAAATATGGTTACTCCCACTAAACTTGTGGTATACACTAATTAACTGCATTAATCTCAAAATCAAACGAGACAATTACTTGATGAAATTTATGATATCATTGATGGGAAGTTTGCTTAAGCCTATAGATGAATTTCTTCATTTGCAAACCATCTTCTTTGAGTCTTTTGACACAAAGTCTTTTGACGGTACTATATAAATCGTCTCATCAATGTCATCATTAAGAAATGTCGTTTTTACATTCATCTGATGTAGCACAAGATCAAAATGTGATATAAGTCCCATAATAGTCCCAAAAGAATATTTCGTTGAAGTCAGAAAGAAAATCGCTTTATAGTCAATGCCTTCCTTATGAGTAAATCCCTTTGCATAACAAATGAACCTTATATCCGTCCATATTGCCTTTCAAATCCTTCTTAGCTTTAAATATTCATTTACAACCAATGGATTTCACACCTTTAGGCAATGTGATGAGTCCTCAAATGTCATTATCTTTAATGAACTTTATTTCTTTATTTATAGCGTCATGCATGATTTTGATGAGAGTTGATTGGATCTTCTTCCACCAATTCAATGCCATCATCATGTTCTTAGAGAAGGACTACTACGTTACCAAAAATTACCTTTTTCCTTTCACTAGTGGATCTCCTTGATGACATTTGTTCTTGAGGTCTCTTCATGTTGAACAAGGGGTTCTAGAATATTGTCTTTATCTATAATTGCTTCTTGAACAAGATTGAGAATAGAAATTTGTTCTTGATCCTAATCATTGTCAATGGTAATAGAAGGAATAGTTACATTTTCCTCGTGGAAGATAAAATTCCTAACATTATCTTCTTCGACAAACTCTAAATCCTTAAAGAACCAAGCATTTTTCATTTCAAAAATTTACCTTGTAGTGGGGTTATAAAATTTGTAACCCATTTGACCTCTTAGGACATCTAATAAAATAGCAGTTGACGGTTCTAGAATCTAAATTCGTTTCATTTGGCCTGTAAGAACTTGATTCAATTGGACAACCCTAGATGTGCTAGTGCTTTAAACTAGGCTTCTTATATGTCCAAAGTTTATAAGGATTTTGATAGTTACTTTACTTGGAACTCTATTGAGAATGTGAGCTGAAATATTTTGTGCTTCTCTTTAGAGAGATTCTAGTAAGGTGGAATAACTAATCGTACTC